TTCACCCATTTATTGATTAGGTTATTTGTCAAGCCATGGTATTTTTTAGAAAATATTTTTTTAGTTATCAGTGGACCTTTGTTTTATTTATTTATATGTGGTGTTGAGAATCCTCACACATGCTAGGCAAGTGCTCAACCACTGCACCCCAAACCCAGCCCACAAACCATCATATTTTTAAGACATTTTTGTTGGGTAAGAGGATGGGCAATCAAATAAGAATAACAATAAAGAAACCTATAAGCCTACTAGATAAAAAGCAAGAAAAATAAATAAAAGAAACACATTTCTTCCAGGCTCATCTTGCTTTGGAAGAAACAAGCTCACTTCTGATTTTTCTGATATACTCAACAATTATATTTCAAATAAACAAAGTGTATTACAAGAAAATGCTGTAGGCTGTTAATTTTTTCAAAAGTACATTATGCTGTTTAATTTTGTGTACATCTACTAGAAATAATGACTATAAAAACAAAACTACAAAAAGTTATATTGTTATTGATTTTAAAAAATTAAACAGATACTGCTAGGTCTCCTGTTTTTATTTTTCTGCTTACATAAGTTTTTCATGAACAACAATGTAATACTGTGTAATACTGTATTACATCTCTATGTAATACTGGTGTGGTAGTTCAGGATTCTTCTATGATGTGACTCTTCAAGACTCAGCTGTCTTGTTCTCTAACTAAGAAGCTTTCTTTGATCTATAGCAAGTTTTATGGAAACTTTACTAGTTACATCACTTTAAATTCAGATGCCTACATTCCATGCTCTATGTTTCAGCTTGTGCAGTTAGAGAATGTATTCACAGAGGTTGTGGGGTTTTTTTCCCCCTGCTTTCAGTGTTTTCTATACTCCTTTTGCATAAAAACATTCATTTTTATGTTAAAGGCAGATGTTTTACTCGTGGTTAGGTGCTAGTCATATTATTTCTGAGCTGCTTCCTGAAATGGTTCCTGTTATTCAGGAAATCATATAATTATTTAGATCAACAAGTTCATTGAATCAGTGTATTTCCTAAGGACAGAAACTGACATTTCTCTGAAAATATCTTCAAAGATTACCAAAACAAAGAAACAAATATAATAAACCTTCCCATCTGAATGGCATTTGCATTGTATAATATCTTAAATTTTTGATTGAGTCTACTACTAAAATCCATTGATTATCTTCACATAGGAAATCACATGTCATCATTTAAAACCATGCTAAGTATTATCTGTATGATACCACTAATAAAGGGCATATTGCTGAATTCCAGAACAGCCTTTGCCCTTATGTTATGACTTTGCCTTTTCTGGTGCTTCATTTGAAGCACCAAGTACCTGTTCTTCTTCTAAAATACAGTAAATGAAATTTGACTATCAGCCACAGTGAGTTCCATGCGTAATGGTTTTGTTAATATTCTGGAGTTCCTCTTAAAGTAACATGAATGTGTAGACATTAAAAAAAAAAAAAACAAGTGTAAATGATAGATAAAAATAAATTTTGAGTAAATAAATGAAATTTTTCTGATTAATAAGCCTCACTGCTTCAACAAATGAGTCTGCTTAATAAATTGCTGAAGATTTTCAATGTTCATTGAGGCTTAAAATCAACTCATTTAGCCAGTCTCTTCCATAATTCATTACATTGATAGGCAGGCTAGTGAATAAAAGTAAGAAGAATTCTGTAGAACTAATAATGTTGTAGTTCATTTATCCATTCACATTTTCAATAAATACATGGTAAGTAGCATTATAGAATCTGAGGATTCAACAGAAACAAAAGCCTGCCCCTGTAGGATTTTACAAAGTGGACAGTGTACATATAAACAATTGCATGATGTTTCATGGTGATAACTGCTAAGAAGAAAAAATAAATCTGTGTAAAGAGAATGAATAGCAAAGAAACATGGTGATACTATTTCAGACAGGATGATAAAAGAAGTACACTCTGATATTTTGACATTAAGCAAAGTCCTGAAAGAGGGAGCAAGGCAGGTAATTATGTGAAGTTTGCCAGGAAATGGGAATAGCAAGTTTCAAAGCCCTAGTAATGATCATGTTTGGACTCTTCTAGGAGCAGCAAAGAATAGATGAAAATGTAACAGAGAGTATACTATGAAGAATGGCATGAAATGAGATTAGAAAAGCCAGTAGTGAGCTAGCCAGTTATGTAGCGTCTTAGAAACCAAAATCTACAAGTGGGAACTTCAGACTTTATTCAGAGTGATATACAAAGCTGTTGGAAAGTTTTCTGGCTTCCCTGTGGAAAATAAACTAGAATAGAAGCCAGAAAGCCAATTAGGAGGATATTGCATTCAGGAAGAAAATAACAGTATTTGAAACAGGGTGTTACTATACAGCGGATATACTTCGAAGGTAGAGCCAACATGCTCTCTTGACATACTGGAGCTGCGTTTTCAGTGATGAGTATATTCAAGATGACTTGAGCTGGAAGGTAGAAGGGTTAGAGGAGTCATGTATGCAACACTTGATAAGACAGTGACCAGATTTGGGTGTGATGACTCAAGAATTGGGTTCTGTAACTGTTATGTTCCAAGTGTCTGTTAATTATCCAGTTGAACATAATATATATATATATATATATATATATATATATATATATATATATATATATATATATATAGAGAGAGAGAGAGAGAGAGAGAGAGAGAGAGAGAGAGAGAGTCAGAAAAATTTGTGGACTTAGGACCTAAGACTGGATGGAGTCATCTAAGTAGTAGGTTAAAGAAGAGGTCCCAACCTGAAACATGGGGCACTCTAGGAAGAGCCAGCAAAAGAGACTGAGAAGGAGTAGCCAGCAAGATAAAAGGATAACTTGAAATTTGTTTTAGGCTTATATTGATTTTTTTTTTAAATCCTCTAAGGTAGCTTCAGAACCTGAAGGGAAACAGCTTACTGGGATATCATTAGCACATTACTGTGTGATAAGGTATATTTCCATCCTACTAAAAAAAGTTATATAGATAGGTACTTCTCAGAGAAAACTGGACAAGAACATAGATTAGTGTTCTTTCCTCCTCACTTTATTCCCCAACTTCCAACTACCTTGGAGTCCCAAGTATTTCTTCAGTGTATATTATCACTTTTAAAAATGAAGGAGTGAGATTAGCTAGACATAAAATATTCTCTCAATATATTTACCAGGAAGTATTTATATGTACAAATATAAGATTTTCCTTAAGTAACTGATATGTCATATAGTATAATATATTATGCCAGGAAGTGTTTATATGTATAAATATACCATAAGATTTTCCTTAAGTAACTGATATGTCATATAGTATAATATATTATGCTAGTAAGAACAGAACAAGTTATCATGTAGCCTTTTTAGCTTTGGCTGCAAAGAAATTTGGAGAGAAATTTGATGCTCGATGTATAACAATGTTAAATATTGAGGTTGGCTTTTTGTATACTGATTTTTATGTTCTTTATTTCTTTTATTTGCATTTTATTATTATGTTATTATTGTTATTGATATAAGCTATCCCAGATCTTTTCTGGAATGAGTAGTGATATTAAGAAAAATATAAACTCAATGGGCTATCAGAGTTGAAAGATAGATATATTATTTTTTTGAATTAATCTCATTTCCCCATCAAATTAAGTTTTAAATCCATATTGCATGCAAATATTTTAGGAAGACCAAAACATATACAAAAGCATAGACATTAATATTTTTAAAATACTGTTTAATTTAAAGCATCATGACATTATTTTAAAAAGTAAGGAATTATCAGGCAAAAAATAAAGGGAAGTCAAGAATTTAGAGAAGTAAGTAAGCCTGAAGCCACTTTTCCCTTGAAAGCACTAGGTAATCCCAGAAAATTAACTCTCCTTTCAGTAGTCTTTCAGGGTAGAGAAGGAGACAGAAAACAAAAACTCTTCATCCATATATAAGTTGGGGAGTCTGACAGGAGATCTTCTTCTATAGCAATCTGGAATCCAAGATCTCAGAGTGAAGATGAAGACACATTGGAACAATCTGAAGAGAATTCAAATATGGCAGGACTTTTCTGAGTTGTCCAGCAGACTTTAGTATTTTTAACCTATATATTTGCTATTCATCAGGGATTGTCCTCTACACTGAGGTTTCCAGATGAAATCTTCCTAGTTGTTTCTTGGATGTTCCACATTATCCTAGAGTCTGCCACTACCCTGCTCTCAACCAACTCTGCTGCTCACTACCGAAAGAATATAAAGAGTTGGATAAGGGATAAATGAATCTGGAGACAAAAATTTTCTAGTATTGTAATATTATTTAGAAATCTGAAAATTTTAGTGGCTGTTACCATAGCAATCCTAGCCTTTATTAAAACATGAACTCTAAGAATATTTTAGATCTATAAAATTAACTTTCCAATATACCTAACCTGTATCTTCTCATTTCATTATAGCCCTGATGTGTCAAATCAGATTTTGCTGTGTTTGCTCTGATAACAAACACTCCCAAATTTCAGTGTATCACAAAAACAAATAGGTGTATTTGTCCTTCATGGTGTAGCTGCAAGTTGGCTGTGCCTCTGTCCCATGTGTGTTCTCATCCTGGGATTCAGAGTAAAGGATTAGCCCTGATTAGGGATATGACATTCATGTGGCAGAGGGAAAAATGACAATGACAGAACCACAGAAGAACTCCTAAAGCTTCTGTTTCCACTCATGTTTCTTTGGCCAGGTCAGTGGAGAATAGGGAAGTCAGTGGAGGCTGAGGATCCCAGGAAGGGCAGTGAGAAACTGGGAAGGTAGGATTGCACCACTATAATCATGGTTTTTTTTAAGGAACCATTATTTTGACTCATGGGCCATTTTAGTTCCAGGAACCTCAAAATAGGAAAAGTTAGAAAAATAAATAAAAAATGGTCATTTTAATGTGCTTTCTTAAAATGTATAGTGGTTAGCTATGTATTAATAAAATAGAAGCAGAAAAATATTTTATCTCTAATCCCAGGTTGAATGGCAATTGATGTGTTATATATCAATACTCTGTTTTAGATGAAGATAATGATGATGTTGGACAACCCAATGAATCTGACCTGAATGACAGCTTTATAGATGATGAGGAAGAAGAATATGAGCCAACAGATGAAGATTCTGACTGGGAACCAGGGAAGGAAGATCAAGAGAAGGAAGACGTGGAAGAGCTTTTGAAGGAAGCAAAAAAGTTTATGAAAAGAAAAAAATAACTCTTTTCTGCAATAATATAAGACTCAATTTCAGGAAGTAAGGAGGTACTAGAGTAATCATTATTTTCTTTCTTTTGATAGCTACAACTTTTGCTATTGACTTTGTGCAAGTAAAATATTGAAATGTCAGCCATTAAGGTAGTAGGTGGAATTTATTTTGTTGCCTTACTTAAGCACTTACTAGTAGAAAGCAGATAGAGGTTAAAGAGGAATCATATTTTCCCTGTACTTTGTATATTGATAATAAAAAGTAAAAGCCTTGGTTGTACAAAACTTTCCTCTTTTTTCGTTTTCTTTTTTTCAGTCACTGTCTTTGTAGATTATTATGCAAGTATAACCAGGCAAATTACTTGATGGTTGAGAAAGCATGTGTCTTTCATTGTATTGAAGTGATTCTTCAAGCAAAACCAAGCAAAGCCATCACATAATGGCTACTATTTTTCTAGTACTCTAGATATGAGCTTTGTGATTTCATTTAGTAGTTGTATCTTTTGTAACTTGGTGAAATTATTACCAACTGGATACTGAAATAGATTCATCTAAGCTATAGAAGAAAAATGTTCACTTTGCAGGGAATCTATGTTATTTTGTGTCACACAGCTGTAATTTACTACAGGTCTGAATTTGACAGTTTTTCAAACTAAAGTCCTACCTGATTATGTTAACTTTCATGGTTCTGCCTTTGCATTAAGAATATGAATATTTTCATATTCTTTTTTTAATATTTATTTTTGATATCTTTATTTATTTATTTTTTTGTGGTGCTGAGGATCTAACCTAGGGCCTCACAAATGCTAGGTGAGTGCTGTACCGCTGAGCCACAACCCCAGCCCCATTTTCACATTCTTCTAACCATAAATTTCTTAAATGATATTAGTTCTTTTGAGCTCAGAGCTCAGATCAAAGTAGCATGTTGTTTGCCAGTGTTTAAGTTTCTGGCTTCTTATATCAAACAAGGTACCTCTTATACTTCAGTTTGATGAAGTATATCTCTATTTATATATATATTTTTTTTTAAAATGTCTTAATTTTTACTATGCAAAAAAAAAATTTATATTTAGAAGTACAGAAGGGAATACAGAGAAAAGGAAGTCTCTTTTTCCTTCCTGCCCCCAGCCTGAGACAGCTCCTGCTTTCTGCTTTCCTTATGTACACTTCCAGGGAGAACCCATGTGTACGCAAGCATGTGTGTGGGGTTTTTTTTGTTTTGTTTTGTTTTGTTTTGTTTTGCCTATTTTTTTTTTTTAGAAGAGGAGAAAGTATTATTTATTTATTTATTTATTTATTTTTTTTAATTTTTTATTGTGGGTTGTTCAAAACATTACAAATTTCTTGACATATCATATTCCACACTTTGATTCTAGTGGGTTATGAACTCCCACCTTCACCCCATACACAGATTGCAGATTCACATCAGTTACACATCCATTGATTTACAAATTGCCATACTAGTGTCTGTTGTGCTCCGCTGCCTTTCCCATCATCCACCCTCCCCCCTCCCCACCTCTCCCCTCCCCTCCCCTCCTCTCTCTCTACCCCCTCCACTGTATAACCCTGAGGGTCTCCTTCCATTACCGTGCAATTTACCTTCTCTCTCCCTTTCCCTCCCACCTCTCATCCCTGTTAAATGTTAATCTTCTTCTCCTGTTCTTCGTCCCTACTCTGTTCTTAGTTACTTTCCTTATATCAAAGAAGACATTTGGCATTTGTTTTTTAGGGATTGGCTAGCTTCACTTAGCATAATCTGCTCTAATGCCATCCATTTCCCTGTAAATTCTATGATTTTGTCATTTTTTAATGCAGAGTAATACTCCATTGTGTATAAATGCCACATTTTTTTTATCCATTCGTCTATTGAAGGGCATCTAGGTTGGTTCCACAGTCTTGCTATTGTGAACTGTGCTGCTATGAACATCGATGTAGCAGTGTCCCTGTAGCATGCTCTTTTTAGGTCTTTAGGGAATAGACCAAGAAGGGGAATAGCTGGGTCAAATGGTGGCTCCATTCCCAGCTTTCCAAGAAATCTCCATACTGCTTTCCAAATTGGCTGCACCAATCTGCAGTCCCACCAGCAATGTACAAGTGTACCCTTTTCCCCACATCCTCGCCAGCACTTGTTGTTGTTTGACTTCCTAATGGCTGCCAATCTTACTGGAGTGAGATGGTATCTTAGGGTGGTTTTGATTTGCATTTCTCTGACAGCTAGAGATGTTGAGCATTTTTTCATGTAGTTGTTGATTGACTGTATGTCCTCCTCTGTGAAGTGTCTGTTCAGGTCCTTGGCCCATTTGTTGATTGGGTTGTTTGTTCTCTTATTGTCTAATTTTTTGAGTTCTTTGTATACTCTGGATATTAGGGCTCTATCTGAAGTGTGAGGAGTAAAGATTTGTTCCCAGGATGTAGGCTCCCTATTTACCTCTCTTATTGTTTCTTTTGCTGAGAAAAAACTTCTTAGTTTGAGTAAGTCCCATTTGTTGATTCTAGTTATTAACTTTTGTGCTATGGGTGTCCTATTGAGGAATTTGGAGCCCGACCCCACCGACTGTAGATCGTAGCCAACTTTTTCTTCTATCAGACGGCGTGTCTCTGATTTGATATCAAGTTCCTTGATCCATTTTGAATTCACTTTTGTGCATGGCGAGAGAAAGGGATTCAGTTTCATTTTGTTGCATATGGATTTCCAGTTTTCCCAGCACCATTTGTTGAAGATGCTATCCTTCCTCCATTGCATGCTTTTAGCCCCTTTATCAAATATAAGATAGTTGTAGTTTTGTGGATTGGTTTCTGTGTCCTCTATTCTGTACCATTGGTCCACACGCCTGTTTTGGTACCAGTACCATGCTGTTTTTGTTACTATTGCTCTGTAGTATAGTTTGAAGTCTGGTATCGCTATACCGCCTGATTCACACTTCTTGCTTAGCATTGTTTTTGCTATTCTGGGTCTTTTATTTTTCCATATGAATTTCATGATTGCTTTCTCTATTTCTACAAGAAATGCCATTGGGATTTTGATTGGCATTGCATTAAACCTATAGAGAACTTTTGGTAATATCGCCATTTTGATGATGTTAGTTCTGCCTATCCATGAACAGGGTATATTTTTCCATCTTCTAAGATCTTCTTCTATTTCTCTCTTTAGGGTTCTGTAGTTTTCATTGTATAAGTCTTTCACCTCTTTTGTTAGGTTGGTTCCCAAGTATTTTATTTTTTTTGAAGATATTTTGAATGGAGTGGTTGTCCTCATTTCCATTTCAGAGGATTTGTCGCTGATATACAGGAATGCCTTTGATTTATGCGTGTTGATTTTAAATCCTGCCACTTTGCTGAATTCATTTATTAGCTCTAATAGTTTCTTTGTAGAGCCTTTTGGGTCTGCTAGATATAGAATCATATCATCTGCAAATAGTGATAATTTAATTTCTTCTTTTCCTATTTTTATGCCTTTAATTTCTTTCGTCTGTCTAATTGCTCTGGCCAGTGTTTCGAGAACTATGTTGAAGAGAAGTGGAGAGAGAGGGCATCCCTGTCTTGTTCCAGATTTTAGAGGGAATGCCTTCAGTTTTTCTCCATTCAGAATAATGCTAGCCTGAGGCTTAGCATAGATTGCTTTTACAATATTGAGGTATGTTCCTGTTATCCCTAGTTTTTCTAGAGTTTTGAACATAAAGGGATGCTGTACTTTGTCAAATGCTTTTTCCGCATCTATCGAGATGATCATATGGTTCTTATTTTTAAGTCTATTGATGTGGTGAATAACATTTATTGATTTCCGTATGTTGAACCAGCCTTGCATCCCAGGGATGAATCCTACTTGATCATGGTGTACAATTTTTTTTATATGTTTTTGTATCCGATTCGCCAGAATTTTATTGAGGATTTTTGCATCTAGGTTCATTAGAGATATTGGTCTGTAGTTTTCTTTCTTTGAAGTGTCTTTGTCTGGTTTAGGTATCAGGGTGATGTTGGCCTCATAGAATGAATTTGGAAGTTCTCCCTCCTTTTCTATTTCCTGAAGTAGCTTGAAAAGTATTGGTATTAGTTCTTCTTTAAAGGTTTTGTAAAATTCTGCTGTATACCCATCGGGACCTGGGCTTTTCTTAGTTGGTAGTCTTTTGATGGTTTCTTCTATCTCCTCAATTGATATTGGTCTGTTTAGGTTTTCTATATCCTCCTGACTCAATCTGGGCAGATCATATGACTTAAGAAATTTATCTCTGCCTTCACTATCTTCTAATTTATTGGAGTATAAGGATTCAAAATAGTTTTTGATTATCTTCTGTATTTCTGAAGTGTCTGTTGTGATATTGCCTTTTTCATCCCGTATGCTAGTAATTTGAGTTCTCTCTCTTCTTCTCTTCACTAGCATCGCTAAGGGTCTGTCGATTTTGTTTATTTTTTCAAAGAACCAACTTTTAGTTTTGTCAATTTTTTCAATTGTTTCTTTTGTTTCGATTTCATTAATTTCAGCTCTGATTTTAATTATTTCTTGCCTTCTACTTCTTTTGCTGTTGTTTTGCTCTTCTTTTTCAAGGATTTTGAGATGAAGTATGAGATCATTTATTTGTTGGTTTTTTCTTTTTTTAAGGAATGAACTCCAAGCAATGAATTTTCCTCTTAGAACTGCTTTCAATGTGTCCCATAGATTCCGATATGTTGTGTCTGTGTTTTCATTTATCTCTAAGAATTTTTTAATTTCCTCCTTGATGTCTTCTATAACCCATTGATCATTCAGTAACCTATTGTTCATTCTCCAATTGATGTATGCTTTTTCCTTCCTTCTTTTATCGTTGATTTTCAGTTTCATTCCATTATGATCAGATAAGATGCATGGTATTATCTCTACTCCTTTATATTGTCTAAGAGTTGCCCTGTGACATAATATATGATCTATTTTTGAGAAGGATCCATGTGCTGCTGAGAAAAAAGTGTAACTGCTTGATGTTGGGTGGTATACTCTATATATGTCAATTAGGTCTAGGTTATTAATAGTGTTATTGAGTTCTATAGTTTCCTTATTCAACTTTTGTTTGGAAGATCTGTCCAGTGGCGAGAGAGGTGTGTTGAAGTCTCCCATGATTATGGTGTGGTGGTCTATTAGACTCTTGAACTTGAGAAGAGTTTGTTTGACGAACATAGCTGCACCATTGTTTGGGGCATAAATATTTATGATTGTTATGTCTTGTTGGTGTATGGTTCCCTTAAGCAGTATGTAGTGTCCCTCTTTATCTCTTTTGATTAACTTTGGCTTGAAATCTATTTTATTTGATATGAGT